AAAAAAATAAATGCACAGTCAGCAGCCATAGCGTTTTTTTTTTAAGGATAACTCAATATAACAACTTAATGGGCTCTAACTAACACTCTGACCCCACTCCTGGGAACACAGCAGTGTTTTCAGGTTCTTGCGAAAAGCCAACATGGTCAGGGCCAATCTGATCTCTGAGGACATGATGTTCCACAGGGTGGGTGCCATGACAGAAAAGGCTGTCTTCCTGAGCCCAATAGATGGCACTCTATAATGGACAGACCTGTAGTATGCCTCTCCTGCTGGATCTGATGGGAGGGATGAACAATTGTGGAGAGGCGAGCCCACAAATAACCTGGCCCCATGCTGTGAAGGGCTTTGTAGATGACCATCAGCACCTTGAATTGAACCTGGAAGCATGCTGGCAACCAATGCACCTTGTGCAGATCAAGGAGTGCCCATAACTGTCCACAGTGCTGCACTTTGTACCAACTGCAGCTTCCACGTGCTCTTCAAGGGCAGCCCCATGTAGAGTGCATTGCAGTAGTTCGCTTGGAAGGTGACTAAGTCATCATGAGTGATGGTGAGCAGAGCTGCTTGGTTCAGAAAAGAGCACAAATGACAAAAGTCCTCCTGGCTATGGCTGATACTTGTACTTCAAGCAGGAGCCATGAGTCTATGACCCCCCCCCCCAAATTGTGACCAGTTCTGCTTGGAAAAAAAATATGGGAAGTCCCCGAAACCGAGTGTGTGGGTGGGGTGAGCTAAAATCTGAAGCCACTCAGTCTTGCTATGGCTGAGCTAAAGCCTGTTCTTTCCCATCCGAACCCCAACAGCCTCCAGACACCAAAGCAGAACCTCTCTTTAACAGCAGATAGCGTATGATTGAACAGTACTAGGTTTTTCAATGGTTTATTGTATTTTGAAATAGATATACACCAGAAGGATAACACCTAGAATAGCCTTTGTCTTGATGTTCTCCGTATCTGCTGGCTAAAAAATCTGGGAATTGCATTCACCAAAATTTTGGAATGATATTGGCTGGATTCATGAGACTTGTATCATATTGTGGCTTAGCACAATGTGTGAATTGAGTATTCCATAAATATTGCTATGTTATGTTACAGCTCTTGACAAACGGAATTTTTGCATCCACCAAAGAGATTCCATTTGTGTCTGGATTGAGTTGTTGCTAAAGTGTGGAGCACCTGCCTTTAATGGCAGAGATTTTAATTTGTATTTAATTTGTCAAGAGCTGTAACATAACATAGCAATATTTATGGAATACTCAATTCACACATTGTGTTAAGCCACAATATGATACAAGTCT